ATTACCCAGGTAATTCATTCTCAATAGAGAATTTAACACCTCTCCTTGACAATCAATTCAATTATTGTTTACTGAAAATATCCACTATCAATATCTTTTGATCAGAAAACTGGACCAACCAAATATATGCTGTAGCTACAACAGCAGGCCAGAAACGGGTTATTCTGTATCACATAACTCACCTCCTGAGTTCCCAAAGCCTCTAAATCATCAACAAAGTACACGTCAGGTCTGTGATGGAATATCCTTCACTTACTTGGATCAGTATAGCTTCAGTAACACTCAAGAAGCTTGACAACACTGAGGAGAATGTAGTCCTCTTGATTGGCATCCTGCCACCAGGACAGAGTGGCAACAGTGTGTACTTTCCACAAGGTGCATTGCAGCAACTCATCACAGGGCAGTAGATACATGGAAACACAAACACGTACAAGTTGCCCTCCAAGCCAGACACCATCCTGACTTGGAAATGATCGGTGTCACCGAAAAAATTGTCATACAGGATGCAGGAACTCCTTCTATGACAACACCGTTGGTGCAGCTACACCATATGTACTGCTATAGTTCATGAAAGCAGCTACCACCTTCTGAAGGGCAGTTAGGGATGGGCAATACTTACTGATTTAGCAGTGCCATCCAAATCCCATAATCATTGGCCCAAGACAGTCCAAAGTGGAGGAGAGGCATCCATGAAGGGGTCAAGCACGTGAGACCTGCTGTTGGGAAAAAGCGAAAGCCAGGCGAATACTGTGTAAGGAACGTGCTGCCACACCAATGTCCCACCCACCCCTTCCTGTGATTACCTTCTGCCCTAAGTGTAACAGAGCCTGTGGTAGCTGCATCAGTCTGTACAGCCACCTATGGACTCACCCTGAGAGTGGAAGAGAGTCATCCTTGTCCACAAGGGACGGCCAATGAATGAATGAGACCAGAATTTAGTGCTGATGATGGAAATCCCAGTCATGGACTAGGAAATGAATGACGACCTTGTCCTGTGGTCAAGGGCATCCAGGGCTACATCTCATTCACAACAACTGAAAACGTGCTGCAGCAAGGGTGGCTGTCCTTATCAAGGATGTTCATCCACCCCCAAGAGGTGCTGGTCCATCAGAGATCTGCCAGCTCAGCAGTGCTGCTGGGAACCATGGCCACTGCTGAGCCTGCAACTGGAGGAGGATGGTCCATCTATACTGCACACTCTGTGTCCAGTAAGTGAGGGGGATCTGGGGCTAGTCAGGTAGGCCTGGATTTCAGGATGGGAGTGGGGTCCATAAAGGTGGGCAACACCATTGCCAGTGAGGTGACAAGTACAGCAAGGACCCCACCTTTGTGCCAAAGAGGGCATGAACAGAAGGACTACCCACCAGCCGCCCACCTCCTCCTGGCCTAAAGCCCAGTGGGATGTTGCCAGCTTTGACCGGGCAGTTTCTGGATGTGACATCAGCTGGTAAATCATAGAATCCCCTATAGTGCAAATAAAGGCCATTCAGCCCATCAAATCTCTACTGACCCTCTGAAGAGCATCCCACCCAGACCCAGCCCCCACTAACTCCTCATAGCCAGCATTCACTATGGGCTAATCCACCTAGCCTGCATATCTTTGGGCTTTGGGAGGAATCCGGAGCACCCAGCAGAAGCCCACAAAGACATGGGGGAGAATGTGCAAACTCCACACAGTCACCCAAGGCTGGAATCAAACCCTGATCCGTGGCACTGTGAGGCAGCAGTGCTAACCACTGAGCCACTGTGCCACCATTAGATATGGGAAGAAGCTCTTAATTGGCTTCCTCATTGGCTCACTTGGGATTTAGATGGGATGTCTGACTGCAACCCCACTCCACAGCTGGCAAAATGGTGTGGTAGTGGAAAGATGACATGACCCCTCCTGTCCCCATGGCCATCACTGTTTTATCTCCAGAAGGCTGGTAAAACATAACCCATCACTTCCTCATTATTCCCAACTGAAGACTAATGGAAGACATTTACTGGGAATAAACTGTTCTTGTGCATTCTGATATCCTGAATTTTTTTATGTCATTGTAAATCAAATATGAATAACAACTATGGGTATCCCTGACACAGGGTTCAGTGTAGATTAGACATGATCTGGCTTATGCCTATTAGATTTGTTCCACCTTATAAGTGTCAGTTCCTAATTGCATATTTTTAGTCGATGAACTGAATTTCTCTGTTACTCAGAATGACATTTCACATGAGGCTTATTTCCCATTGTAGGCAATAAGGCATTCTTTCCTGTCTTTCTTTCCAGATTCGATTCATTTTGGAAAGCTGTACTGTTGATTTTTTTTTGCCTTTCCAGTTTCACTTGCACTTGGCATTCCCGTGGACATCCTTGATTACCCATTGAAGGGAAACATTTGGAATTCAATGTCATTTTAATGTAGAGCTCTCCGCTCTCCATCCCTCCCTCCCAATCCCTGTAGATATCACAGTACTACCACTGTTCCCAGATAATTGTAGAAAGTGTCCTGTGGCGAAAAAAAACTCTGAATAGTGCTGGCAATAGACCTCATTGGAACTGAGAGGATTGAAAAATTGAACGCATTTGCCTTTCACTTACATGTTATCAAAGAGAACAATGGAAGGAGGGTCATTGCGACTGCACCCACTTTCTGAAACAGTTACCAATGAGTACCACTCTGCTTCTTTCTCTCCATGGCCCTGCAATTCTACAGATATCCAACTCCATTTTGAAAGTGATCATCAAATCTGTTTCCCTCCACCCTTTCAGCCAGTGAATTCAAATCCGAACAGCTCACTGGATTTTAGAAAAACCTGGAATGCTTTGCGCATGACTTTAAATCTGTGTCTTCTGGTTATTAAACTTCTTATCAATAAAAACAGTTCTTCCTGTTTCAGGTCCCAGGACGTGGTGAGTGGGGAGGTGGTTGGCAGGGGAGGGTATATCAGAGCCCAATAACTGGGGCCTTGGACTCTCGGAAGCCCGCTGTATTTGGGACAGGGACCTGGGGTGTGATTTCTGCTCCTGCCTGACCTGCCGCTCACAAACTCTATGGGTTGGATTTTACGTCTTTTTTGGTAGAGTGAGGGAATCGGAACGGGAAACGGAGAGTTCCCTTCACTCCCCCACCCTGCCATCTCAGCTTGTCCAAACAAGCATCAGATGGCCTGTTAGCACCTGCCTGATGGAAAGGAGGCCCATCAGAGCAGCAGATGCAGGCTGCCTTCCTAATGCAGGCCGGGACTGAGAGGGTAATGCCGTGAACAGGACGCGGGTCACAGCTGCAAGTGTCAAGTCCCCCCGCTCTCGGAATCCTTTTTGTTTTTATTGGAGGCTCACTAGAGCTAAGTGCAGGCATTCTCACCATCAGCGGCAGAATCTGCTGTTACATTCAGCCATGGTCCTTGTGCCATTTCTTCTGTTTTCTTCTGTTTTTGGGTCTCTTGTCACAAGGGGAAGCGATGGCCTGGTGGTATTATTGCTGGACTATTAATCCAGGGACCCAAGTAATGTTCAAATCTGCCATCTCAGATAATGCAATCTGAATTCAATAAAAATCTGGAATTAGGAGGCTAATGATGACCATGAATCCATTGCTAATTGTCAGAAACACCAGTCTGGTTCACTAATGTCTTTAGGGAAGGACACTGCCATCCTTACCTGGTCTGGCCTACATGTGACACTTAACTGCTTTCTGAGCAATTGGAGACAGGCAATAAGTGCTGGCCTAGTCAGTGAAACCATCATCCCATGAATGAATTTTTTAATAAAGCAGCTGTAAAATCACCCTCAGACTTTCTCATGTTTGATGTCCAACAAATACAGCAGGCAAAGAATAATTGGAGTCAATTAGGTCATTACCAAGCCCATTTGTCATTTCAGAATAGTGGCCAGACTGCCAACTTCTGTGTCCGCTCGCCCTTGGCAATTTTAGAGGCTAGCATAATGATGTTGAGCCAACGTCATCACTCCCCATTCTACACTGATTTGAGGGGATGAGCGGGAGGTGTAACCTCTCATTTGCAGCTGTAAGCTGCAGCCCTATATAATTGTGAACACGTCTATTAAATCTCCCCTTCTCCTTCTCTGCTCTGTGGAGAGCAATCCCAGCTTCTCGGGTAAATTATTGAATTCCCTCTTCTCTGGTAATGCCAGAGAAACATGGACTCAGCTGAAAGCCAAGTTCAACTGCATGCCCATAAGCGAGGCACTGCAACTGCTGGAAATCTGAAATGAAAACAGAAATTACTGGGAATACCCAGCAAGTATAGAGAGAGAGAAACAGAATTAATGTTTCAGGTCATGACCTATCAGTATCTCTGGTTAGTCATTGTGACACAATTCCATTGTGGAAAGCTTCTTCTCTATGACCTACTTGAAATTTGAAGCCTAATTTTCCCTCCTTTTTAGCACAGTATTGAGGAGCAGTTTTGCTATATTTGAATACATTAATATCACAAATAGGGGAAGATTGCCTCTATACCATTGAATCCAAAGCAAACATTTTGCAATGAACATATTTACAGATTCCCTCTGTTACCCTATATTCCTTGCAAAAAGATTACATTGGATTCAATGGTATAGAGGGAATCTTCCCTTTCTAATAGGTGTTGTTCTGCACGCCTCTCAGCAATTTAGTTTAAAAAATGGTATCAAGTGGTACCGTGACATCAGTAAGTATGGTGTCAATATGTACCAGTGCAGAAAGAAAATACTGTTTTCTGGAAATAGTAGTCTAATACTGTATCCACAGATTTGAAAAAGAGCTGTCTTCCAGAAAGTATAATGTTGTGCTCCTCCATTTCTCCACACTGACACTTGAAATATCCATGTATTTCTTTTTTCTCATTTTCATACATTATTTATTATTTATCAATTGCTTTTTGGATTTCTGTATTTTATGAGCATCCAAGGACCGCAAAGAAGTCGTGAAGCCTCATTAAAAATGAAAATTCATCATAGCACTCTTTCAGTGATTTAATACTGTCAATTAAGTGCCTTCATTTTGTGATTCCAGGAAATGACTCCCTCTTCCAAGATATCGACAGCGACACCTCCCTCACCAGCTTGAGCGACTGTTTTCTTGCCTCATCAGAAGTTAACCCCATGCAAGCTAGAGTGGGGAACCCTATCGACAGGCTCTACTCCATGCAGAACTCATATTTTGCTTCGTGAAAGCAGCAGGACTTGAGAAGAAATCTGATGTAGTACAGTGACTTTAAATCGGAGGCAGTGATGCAGGGAAGAATGGAAAAACGAAAGAAAGAAAACTGTACAGCCATATATTACCTTATTCTTGCCTCATAATGAACTTATCCACTATTTCCCATGTGGCAGAGAAACTGACAGCAAGAAGATAATGAAAGTGACACACAAAAAGACAAATTCAATAGAATTCAAATCAGCACGACAATGGAAGCATGGGACATAAAGACTGCAGCTGCATTCCATTGTTTCAATGTTTTTATACAAATACTCCAGAACTTATTGTTCTTAAGCATATACATCAAAATTTGGGGATCTCATCTCAGCCTCTTCCCTGCTATTCTCTGTTTATTACATTTTTTTTGGTAACAACTGGATCTCAATGAGTTTAAAAATATTTTACATGACCAATTCTCCACGTGCTCAGTGTAAAAGAGGTTAGAAAATGTCATACTTCATTTTCACCTTAGTCAGATACCTATGCATAAAACAGCAAGTAGGCTAATTTGTTCTGAGCTCCCTTGTGTTTTGCATGAATCATCCCTCTTGCAGGGTAACAGCCAAGACTTTATTAAGCTATAAACTGTTAGTGCTTAAATATGGACTGCCATTTCCTTTCACAGTATTTGCTGCGTATGGCTGAAACAAGGTTTCCCCATTCAAGCATAGTCTACAATGTGGAACAGTGCGTGACTCACACTGTTGTCAGCACCATCACGTGAGTGCCAAGAAATGGAAAAATTGTTTGCGAAGGTGGCTGTCGATAATTTGCCAAAATTGAAAACCAGAATTAGTTTTCACCTGCTATTTCAAAATATTTTAGAGACTAAGAGGTGTTGCTTCATGCAGTTTAGCATGTCAGACCCGTTTTCACTATTACATTGCCTACATTGCTACACATCATGTAGGTCCAAATATGAAGCCTATATGCAGCCATGTCATATATTAAATTAAAGTCTTGGTAGTGGAGGTGATTACAATGCCAAGGTTTAGATTTTCTGGTGGAGGTGACAAAGCGTCCCCCAACCCTGACAAAATCAAAATGTACAATGAGTGAAGTTATACTGTGGTAAAACTTACTTCTTGATCACAATAACTTACTGCATCAACAAAATTGCTGAATATTCAGCATGATGAATATGTTGATAAATGGGGAGATATTATGCAAGATCGAGACAAGTAATTGACAAATTGTATAAAAGCAGAGACATGAAGCCCCTCTCCCTCACTGCTCCATATCCATCATAGTCAGCAAATAATTGGCATTATAGAGGTAGTGTGAGAAATCAGTCTACATTTACTTCAGCAGTGTTACAGTTTTATATTACTGTGTATCACAGTATCTCTGTGATAAATGCTTAGAGATTGCAAACCAAAGGTAATTGTTGAAAGCTAACCTCATCTTTTTAATTCAAAATATACAAGCAAAATTTGATCTATAACTCAACTGTGAGCCACTGTTCTCTAATGTTAATTCAACAACATAAGCACCCCAGAAACAAAAACATATTCCACTGGTAGAGGTCGGATCTATGAGAGTAGAAATACAAGTACTATTACAATCATTTGTTTCATAATTCATCCCATGTAATGGTAATTTCTGTGCTTTGACCTGAGAGTTCCAGTAAAAGATTAAGCCTGAAAGCAGCCTTTGACCTTTCTGATTTTGTTTGCCTCATTTTGGGACTGCCATGGGACAGTATGATTGCTCAAGTGAGGATAATGTGCTTTAACTAAAGCAATACTTTAAAGCGAAAAGTAAATTGACAAACTCCTGTCAGGCACCCTTAGCATTTGATGTGTTCACTCAGACAGCATGCCATTGATTATACAATTGGGACTTGGAAGGTTGTGGGTCAAGGCAACTGCAGTTTATTAGTCTTCCCATACAATGATTGCTCTCTATAGGTACCTGGGGAGGAAATCAGCCTCTTTACTGTATGCATGCATCAAATTATATAGTAATTCCATTGTCATTCAAAGTGAATTTTCTATTGAGGAAAGCAGAAGGAACAGTTTACAGAATGATGATTGATTACGCCAATATGCTGAGAGTTCCGTTAGTGCTGCAGTGACTATGTTCATGTAAACTTAACTACTAATAATTTGGGTTGCCACCTCTTGTAATTCTATTGAATATGGTAAGCCGGTTTAAAAAGCATAGAACATAGAACATAGAACATAGAACATTACAGCGCAGTACAGGCCCTTCGGCCCTCGATGTTGCGCCAACCTGTGAAACCAATCTGAAGCATGTTTGTTTAAAGAATATGCCTTTAAATCTGCAATGTTTTACTTTGGATTATATCCTTAAACCTGAAACCATGTTTGATATGAAGCAGTTTAAAAAATCTTCTTGTCGACCAGTTGTAAAGAATAGTAGAGACAAAAGCATAAATTATCAACACATCAACTGCCAAATGTTTTTTTTTCCTGTTAACTCCCTCGTTTGTGTATATTTGTATTTTAATGCCACACAACTTTTGGAGATTATAAAATTGTCTACTATTTACAGTTACATGAGATAGTGAAAAATGACCTGGAATACTGTAAGAGTCAAAACTAATATCAACAAAGTCCTGAGGTGCTTAAATCCATTCAAAGGAAGTGTGAATGAAAATGATTACTAAGTTCACTGAAGAACATTTTCTTTGCTCTTTGTTAATTGGTGTATAAAACTGGATGGAGTATTGAATATTACTGTCACCCACATTCCCATGGCTGAACTTTGAAGTGAAACCATACCAGGAGGGTTATCATCCGAAAGGTTCTGCGTCTTTAAAAAAAATCACAAAAATGGGAATAATATAAATTCTGTATAAAGTTATGTACAGTGAATTTTCTTACATTTTGGTGTGCCCCGTAGCTTAGAACAAAAGACAAGCAAACCTCTGTCTCCTTTATTGAAGGTTGTCCATGATTTCAGTAAGGCTGTATGTATTGTAAATTTATATATTCTGTATTTATGTTAGATTGAGTGTAGAATTTTTATAGTTGTGTCTGCTATACTTGTCACCAACTTGTAAACAAACCCATGCTATAATATGTAGCATCTATGACTTTTCTTTTGCAACATTATTTAGTGACAGCTCTGGTTTCTTGATCCCTCCCTTCCCTTCCCCACCTCAGTCAGGCATGAAACTTTGCATTTGTGTGTAGAACATATTTTATTATTTAAATTACTTGTTATTTTTAAATTATTTATTAGTGTTTCTCGAGTTCATTTTGTGGCATTGTTAAATAAAAGGAGTTTTTGTACAACCTCTTGCTTTACAATAACCACCTCACATTGTTTTGGCATATGTAACACTGCATTCTCCAGTAGTTTCTCTGTATATGTTATTTCCTGGTAATTTTATAGTTGCTCTCACTTACCAATTAGCGAAGCAAAGGGATTGAAATGTATTTATATGACAATTAAAATTAGTTTCATCATCCTAGTGTCTAAACCATGGAAACGTTGTATAATAAAGAAAAAAAAGTTCACATTGTACAGAATGATGTGTTTGAAAATATAATGCATAAAACAAGCACAAATTGGACCTCGGCTGAAGCTGAATGAATATCAACCGTGTGATCGCGGTGATATTCATTGCATTGCCGTTCAGCAAAGTCTCCGGATTGGAAAATGGAGATTGATTTATCTAACACAGCTGTGGAGGACAGAAAGGTGTGGAGCGGAGAAATTGCAGGTAAAAATGCCTCCACCAGGTTCAGACAGTTTAGCGTTCAAAGCAGCGACTCGCACGTTCCACAGGCCTTTCGGTAAATTGTAAATCTGATTATCAGCTCAACAGATGAGTTCAAACAGCTCTTCAAAGATTTGTTTTAATGATCACTGCCTTATCTTAATTCCCGATTTATCTGTCATTCTGCTGCTGTGGGGCTGATCTTTTTGATAATGACTTGTCAATCTTAATGCACTTTTTCACAGCTTTTCTACCCTCGAACCCTATCCACCTTTGTTTTCAAGCTGACGGTAGAGGTGGGTTGTGTTTCTTCCAAGCGATGGACTTCACTCCGATTGTCAGAATGTCTTGGCCAGATTTGAGTCATGATAATAGTGCAGCAGAGAGAGGCCAAAGCAGAGCTGTTACAAATCTCTCCATCTGCCCAGTTGATGAAGAGCTCGTGAGTTTCTATTCATGGAAAACGTTCAGAGATAAAAGACCAGAGGCAAAGTTTGTAGTAAACTGGATCACATACATGTGACAGGGATGGGCTTTGCTTGTTCCATCAGATCTCTGTCAGATTGAATGATGCAGACTGATTTGGATTCTTCACCAATCCCCCCTCGCTGCCTTCTTCCTCAGATTTAGAGCTACAGAGTTTGAACCTCAGGCCAGAAAAACATTTTCTTCAAATTTATATCAACCACTTTGGATTTTAAATTTAAGCTAGGCCCCTTCTTATATTCATGACAGTCCCAAGACTTGAAAGAGAAGCCAGTGATGAAAGATGAGGGGGAATCTAGTGTTGTTAAAACTAACCTTCATTTTATTTATGAAGCAACCAAATGTAACTATTTTGCAATAGAGAGCATGGACAGTTCCACAGTATTGTGCTTTGTGATTCTGAAACAGCTCTTGGTTTTTACGGTATTATATTCAGAATAGGGAGTTTGGTTGCAAATTTGTTGATTAGGAACACAACTCCTGAAACACTGATCATGTTTCCAAACTCTGTTGAGCTAAAATTGTTGCAAGACTGTATTTACCGCAAAAAGTAAAAAGTGTGCTGGAACTGGGCACCTTTTAGTGTAGAAGCATTGTTGTTCTGGAACGTACATTTTGAGCTTATTGCCACAATTATATGATACCACTGCAGGGTCACTGGGGTTGTAATGCAGAGCCCCACGTTAATGTTCTCAGCCTTTTGTGGTGCAATGGTATTTCCTTACCTCTGAGTTAGAAGGTTCAAGTTCCACCTGCTCTAGACATGTTCATAGCATGTATGAACAAGTTGATTAAAAAGCTATAATACGCCAGTTTGTTTTTCAACATAGGGATATAGCAATGTTGCTGAAGATTTGAAAAGGATCTGATCTTCCTTGAAAAGCTGGTCAACCTGATTACCAACATACACTGGTTTTATTCGGTCTTTAGCACTTTTTGTTTTGTCACTATTTTCACTGGTGCTATGTATCCAGACACAGTGTGTTGTTTCTGATTAACATTTCCTTCACAAGAAAGCATCTTGGAACATGCACAAAACCAACTATTGCAAGATGGAGTATGATCAAACGTCTGAGAAGTGAAATAATCACTACTGATCAACCTTGTCATACCCTGTGCATCTAATTCCAGTTCAAAGAAGCCCATATCTTTCAGTACCATACAGCATTTGGCTGGCTCAGAGTAAGTGTTCTTACCCCTGAGCTGAAGGCTATGAATCCAAGCCCTATGCTAGAGACTGGATAATCAAGGTTGGGATTTAGTTGCTGCTGAATTGCATGGGTTACATGCTCTTGCGGTTGAAAACAGAAGTCCCTCAAACAGTTACATAAAATTTGCAACACAACAACAGGTCTCTCAGCCCAATTGGTCTATGCTGGTGTTTATACAGCACATTAACACCTTCTCATTCTATTTCATTTACTTCTCTCAGCATAACCTTCTGATGCATCCTTACTCATACTTGTCCCTCCAACAACACTGCCACCCTCACTGCTCTTTGATTGAAAACAGCAACAGAACAGATGGTGAGCAAGAGCTCTTCAGATGCCAGAAACCAATGGGTTATGGCACGATGGAAAGCGATCCAGCTTTGTTGATTCACAGGTAATAAGAGATCCTAATGAGAGCTCACAAAATATGTGTGTCTAATATCATCGGGTCTCTGGAAGTTTGTCGCTTTATATTGGACAGTGTAGTTGACAGCAGGACTGAAGAGTACCAGATGTCAGCAAAATGTCAGTGTAAAAACACTTTAAGAAGTCAACTAACACTTTTCATCTTTAAATCAAATTTAACCTTTTGCCAATACATAGCGTGAGTTTTACCAGGGCCACACGGGAGAACTGATCTCTGCCTAGCTTATAAAAACCAAAAGAACTGCGGATGCTGTAAATCAGGAACAAACTTCTCAAAAAGGAACAAACAGGAACAAACTCTGCCTAGCTTATCTTGTTCTGATATAATCTCCATTTCATGAATGGATGTTGAACAGTAGCACCAACATAACTGCCAATGTTTGACAATCCATAAGTCACTTTTGGCACACCTTGTCTTTTTCCCTTTGTGTTCCAATGAAACTTCAGGTGAAAAATTTGAAATGTCAACCTGCAATGCAAACTGATATCTATTTGAATGGGTTAAACCATGCTTTTTGCTTAAATGGATTTAAACCAGGTTGCATAACCCGCTGAATCACACCTTTTATATAATAGTGGAAAATGCAGATTATCCCTTGAGCAAAGGAGACTCCATGACGATTAGGATCAATGGCAGTCATACTTGCAGCTGCCTGGGCCCTAAGCTCTGGAATTCCCTCAATAAACCTCTTTAAGATACTCCTTTAGACCTACCGCTTTGGCTAAGTTTCTGTCACCTGTCCTGAGACATCTCTTCCATGGCTCAATGGTAAGTTGTTGCTGTAAAAGACATACTTAGCTTAGGAAATAATGACAGAAGATGCATTTATAGATATAGTTGCAAACGAAATAATGGCATTTTAGATCTCACGTACTTTTTTTTAAATTGGCATCTTATGTATTATCTCATTGTTTAATAAACATGTAACCTTCACATGCAATACTATCCCACGCAACTTCGAAATGAAAAATAATTCCCTAAATAATGAATCATTAAAATTCTAAAGGAAAATGAATAATGGGGAGGCCCGCTTCAGTGTGATTTACACAGGCAGCTTTGAGTTAAAAGCTACAGAAGACAGGCTAGTATATTTCATTGCCTTTGTCATTGAGATTAGCTAACTATGCTAATGTATTTCAAAGTGATTCAATTTGAAACAAGTGAAAACTTTCAAGAAAAGTGTGAAAATTGAGCTTAATTTGACAAAAATCTGGCGAATGAAATGAAGCAACTCAATTCAGCAGCAGGTAGAGAAACAGCAAAGGTAGCCAAATGGAGGCTTGGATCTTTACACCACTGTCAAAAAAAGATGGAAAATTGCAGGAGTTGGTGTCTTCTATCTGGAGGTTGAGCTGAGGAGCTGTGAGGGGCTTGTTCCTGGCATTTCTTCGGACTACATGTGATGCTGGATGTTAGAGGTGAATACACCAGGAGGCATTAAAATAAATGTCATTCATCTATGCCACAAGCATCATGATTTGTCTGTTTGGGGAAGGTTTTCATGTATGATACATGATCATGGAGAACATACAGATCCTATGGGTTACCACTTCAAGTAAATTCTTGCGACTAAAAAAGCAGAATTGTAGCGCAATGCTGGAATAAAGTCAGACATAGTCTACCACAAGTGAACACAGCACATTTTATTGTGGTACAACTTACAAAAATTGCCTCGAGCATTTTTCAATCTGTTTTCTATAGAATGTTTGGCTTTGCATCTTATAATTGTTTAGCATGTGGAAAATATACAATGCACAAAAAAAACTGATTGAACAAAACAGCTACTCTCTGTTATATTATTGTTGATTGGCTTAAATGTAGAAAAGGGTGAAGCCTAAAAGTCTGTATATTGGAGGAAAAATCACCAATCCACACAAAAAGCACCTCAGCAACACCAGTAGACATGTTGAGTGCTTTATCCCTGGAACTAGGATTGTTCAGCAAGACAGTCCCAGTATCCTTTAGGGTTTCAACTTCAAGTGGGACCTTGCATCCCCTGCTTAGCTTCCTGATCCCAGCATAAACCACTGGAGCTCCCCTCCTGCTGTCTACTCCACCCACAGGAGCACTTGCACTTCCTCCAAAAAATCTGCCCCCTCCTAGCCACAGATTGATTCCCCTCCTTCCTAAGAATTCAGTTTAAGTATTAAGCAGAAAATAGAAAAGAAAAAGAAAGAATGGACATAGCCCATTTCATGACCTCAGCAACAAAGCCAAGAAAGAACTATTGTAATGCATAAAATGTGACAGCCAACTTGTACACAGCAACCTCCTGCAAACAGCAATGCAATAATAACCAGCCAACTTGTGTTCAGTGATGTTGGTTAAGGGATAAACATTGGTCAGTACCAATGTTTCCTACCCTTTTTTCATTATTTTCATGGGATATTTTACATCCATCTGAGACGGCAGGTGGAGCCTGGGTTTAACATCTCATCCAAAAGTTGGCATTGCCAACTGTGCAGAATTCTCTCTGCACTGTACTGAAATATTAGCCTTGACTTTGTGCGCAAGTCTCAAAGCTGTAACTTTAATTAGAAACCTTCTGATTGAGAGGCAATCCATTGGTAGTG